TTTTGAGACAGGCTTGATTACAAATATCATTAAATTAAATAATTATTGTTAAAAATTTTTGAATCTATGTAAGTTAAGTTAAAAAATCTAGATCTCATATTTTCTTATTTTTAAAATTTCTAAAATAATTTTAACAAAAATACTTAATTTTTTAAATTTTTTATATTTTACTAGTTAAGGCTTACGACAACAAACTTAATTAGACATATTATAATTGTACATAGTTTCTTTTAAATTTTCTACAACTTTGCTCTTTATTCTAGAGGTGAAGCTGGACTAAAAATTAAAAATTTGGGGGCAAAGTATTTTTGTGTTAAAATATATTAAATTTAATTATTTATTCTTAAAAGGGTTAAAATTTTAATTTTCTCATCTAATTAAGGGCTAATGCGGATCCAAAAATATTTTTTAGGGTGGGCACACATAGGCTAGTAATACAATTTCTGAATTAAAATTTTAGGGTAAGTACAAATAAAACTTCAAGATGGACATTATCAATAAAATAAGAAAATGACCAAATAAAATTCGAATTTCAGGGTGGGCACGTGCCCACCCTGACTCTGCCACTAGGCTAATGGGGGAATAGATCGAATTGCTGAAATTTTGAAGGGACTAAAATTGAGTTAAACCATTTAACCAACAGACCATGACCCCTTGCCGTCCGTGACTTCGCCTCCCTTATTCCATGTCATTCTCATTTATAGTTCCAAAATGTAGAAGGAAAATGAAATATTGTACCATCTCATCAATAAATGAAGAAAATGGTTCCAATAATGGCTAGTGTTTGAAAGATAAGTTATTCCATCTCATTTTCATAGTTATGTTCTGGATAACAATATGGATTTTTTCCATTGGGAATCAAGACTTTATAACTTACATTTCTTAGAGTATATATAAAATAAGTAAATCTAATAGCTTTATAAGTAAATTATGCTTGATTTTCAAAAATATTTTGTTTTAACTTTTAGAAAATAAATTATATTTTCTATTTTTTAGATATTGAAAAACTCGTCTGATAAATAAAAATAGAAAAAATATTTTCTATCGTAAAGATATGTTTAGTTACATATTTCCATACAATAAAAAAAAATTCATAATCAAATTAATAATTTATTTTGGTTTCACATTGTTACGTAAAGAATTTAACCAGAAATGTAGAAACTTGAAAATGATCCTACAGGAACTGTTGCATTACCATCTTTGAGTTGTCTGAATCCAACATTTTTGCATTGAATTCCATTTCCACCGCTTAGTGGGATGGTCAAAACTGGCGACCTTTGCTTACCAACAAAACATCAATTTCTCATGTTTTTTTTTTCTGGTGTCTTAAGTACTGGGTTAGAGTTTGAGTATTAAAATTGTTTATCTTTTTTAAAATTTATTAATTAATCAATTGATTGAAATCAATTCAATTTCAGATATTTTTATTGCATTGAACAAAACAATTAATCCATTAACTAATATATCATTTAAAAAACATCAGTTAAACAATTAATTCAAGTTTAAGTTAATTATACAACCCTAAATAGTTTTTAATGCTAGATCCAAGCGTTGATAAAAAATAAAAACAAAAACGTGGGCCTTATGTCCATTCAAAAACACATAAGGGAAGAGCATCGCTTGTTAATGGAGTAGCATCTAAGTACATAGAACTGACTAGCATTTCCGCAAGAGGGACGAGTTTCTTGATAATTTAAGAACCATATACGGAGATATTTTGAGAGCGATTAGGCATGGAGGAACGAAAGAAAGATGATCATCCAAATTTGACGAGAAAGTAAAAAAAAAAAAAACTAATGTTGGAGAATGATAAAAGAAAGTTACTGTTTTACACAAACTATAGGATGGAAGCTGTTGATGGTGATCGGTCAGGATTCAAGTGAGTTTCACGGATATTATTTAGGGTTTACTCATTAAGGATGTAACATTTTGTAACTAGTTTTTATTTCGAATTAGTGTTTGCTCCGTCGTTTGATGCAGAAATCTAAAGTGTTCATGGTGGTTAGCAAACTTGTAAGACTTGATTGTAGAGTGTGATCGCTAGTATGTCCTAAAGTTGTGGTAGTTATTTTCACAATCAATATGTAAACGGTCTAATATATCATCTAATATAAACGGATCATTCAAATATAAAATTTTAAAAAATTTAATTTATTGTACAAACCAAATAATCTTATTATAAATTGATTGTTATTAGTCATTAAGATTTTATATTCGAGTACTACAAATATTAAAAGGATAAAGTATAATAATGGTCACTGAACTTTCCTAAAGCTTTCATTTAGGTCCCTCAACTTTTAAAACTTACAATATAATCCTCCAACATTTAGTACGTTTGCAATATGGTCTCCCAACAGTTATGTCGGGGACCATATTGTAAACAGACTAAATGTTGAGGGACCATATTGCAAATGGACAAAATATTGGGGGACTGTATTGCAAGTTTTAAAAGTTTGGGGACCTAAATGAAAGCTTTAGAAAAGTTCAGTGACCATTACTATACTTTACCCTTATTTTAAATCATAACATTTTAATTAAAATACTTTCTTAAATTATTTTTTCAAATTAGAGATAAGTATAGGTCTAATTGGACTGGATTTTTTATCGATCTAAACTCTATTCAAATATTCTATCTCTTTACCTATAATCCGACCTGATTCGGGTTTAGGGATGAATTTTGTCCAATTAAAATATAGGGACATAATTTTAATTTAGTGCATCATGGGGGACTCAAAATGGGAATTGACCAAAGGGAACAGAAGAAGTTTACGCCAGACAGAAACTCCAAGTCCAGCCGGCCACCGGTTCAAATATATTGTTATTTATTTATTTATTTATTATAATATTAAAAAATGATTTTCATATAGTAACAATGCATAACATTAAATACAATAATTAATAACTTATGGCAATATGTAATGAATTTAAACAGTATTGTCGGAGCATTAACTGTTGTAATACTAGTATTTTTGTAGAGAGTGGAATATTAAATTAAAAAAAAAGACGGCTGTTTTTTCTTCTAATTTAATGTTGAATTAACTAGTTTGAATAGATACTTCACTTGTTTCACTTAATTATAGGTAGGGATGGCATTTTCACTTCGACAGGTTTCAATCCGATTCAATCTGATTAGGTCGGATTTTTTTTAAAGAATTTGGGTTCAAGCCGGGTCATATCGATTTTTTATGGGGTGAGGTTGGGTCAGATTAGATTCGGATAGAGGGTGAAAAAACTCCAACCAGACCCAATCCGAGGATAATGATGTCATTTCCTTAAAAATTATTATTTTTTAATTAAATCATTAATTTATACCGGGTCGGGTCAGGTTGAATTTATACACTAAAAACGGGTAGGGTCAGAGTCGGGTGAAGGATATATACTTTTTAGGCCTAGTCAAGTAGGATGTAAGATATAAATTTTTTAAATCAGATCGGTTCGACAAAAAACCCGACCCATTACCATCCCTAATTATAAGTTTAATAACAAACAAATTACTTTTGCTTTAAAAGTTATAAACATATCATTCAGTTATATTAATATTACAAGCATTTCATCTTATCGTTAAGAATGAAATGGACGTTTGATATAATATGATATAATAATATTTTTAATTCATTAAATTTATATATTTTATTAAACTTGTTCTTATTTAAAATAATTCAATAAATTTAATTATTTATATTTAATATTTTTTAATACCAATGGTAATCATCCTATATTAATAAAAAATTATTAATTTAATTTTTTACGATACTATCAAATCAAACGACTCCATCAAATTAAATTAATAGTTGAATAATTACATTGTGTCATAAAATAGCAACACATTAGTATTAGAATATTATCATACTATAAAAACTATAAAAAACAATATAACATTGATCGGAGAAGAATAAAGAATATAATGATAAGCTTTTTAAAATTTTAAATATTAAATTTATTAAATTGTTTCAAATAAAGATCAAATTAATAAATGATATATATTTTAAAGAATAAGATCGTTATTATATAAAGTCACATCACTATTTTCGTGTAATAATATTTTAATTAAATGATTTATTTATAACTTTTAGAAGAAAAGTAACATGTTTATTACTAAATCCAGAATTAAGTGACCTTAGTTTTAGTTTACCCTATATATATATATATATATATATATATATATATATATATATATATATATATATATATATATATATATAATATCAGCTGCTTTATTCGTTTGTTTACACGTGTAAAATAAAAGGGTAAAGTATAGTAATGGTCACTGAATTTTTCTTAACATTTCATTTAGGTTCCTTAACTTATAAAACTTGCAATACAGTCTCTAACATTTAGTCCGTTTGCAATATTTTCTCCCAACAGTTATGTCAGGGACCATATTGCAAATGGACTAAATGTTGAGGGACTATATTGCAAAAAGACTAAATGTTGGGGGATTATAATGCAAGTTTTAAAAGTTGGGAGACCTAAATGAAAGATTTAAAAAAGTTCAGTGACCATTACTATACTTTACCCATATTAAAATTATAAATATTTAATATAAAATGATTGAAAATTTTCTTTAAAAAATATCGACCCATACGGCAGCCAGCAGCGCTCGTTGGGGATGAAGTTATTGGCATCCTGCGCGAATAGCCAGGGCACTGCCTGACCTACTGTGATTGCATAATAACGCTACCCTTGTTTATTGTTTAGGATTATTATTGCGATTATAATTAAATAAAGCATTTCATTGGACCGTCATTAATTAATAATAAATATTAAATTTGATTTTTTGGGATCGTGAAAAAAAGAAAAGAAAAGAAAAGCGAGAACCTTATTCCCCTTCAACAAGGATGGAGGAGAAGCAATGACCAACAGAATTTGGATCGAAGGTGGTCCTTTAAAGACATTATTATATTAAACTACAAATTATTCTTACAAAAGCTCTTCCCTTCCACTATATAAGCAACCCAATTTTCATCACTTAGACTCACACCCCAAATATTTAAAGCAATTGTTCAAATTTTCTTTTTCCTCCTCTAGTTCTTGTGGTAGGACTTGTCGGCATCTATCCTTTGAGAAGGTTCAGGGTTTCTAAGGCACAATAACGAAGGTATGAATACATTAATTAAGCTCATTTTGCTTTCTCATATAGCGTTTAATTTCTTTACAGAATTTTCAAAGCAGTATTTAATTACTAGTATAATCAGCTAATTATCATTTCATTAATTTGGTGATAACTGGTAAGAAGTTTTAATTATTATTTTAAAAATCTATTGAGTAACTTTAATGGTAGAAAAAACATGTTCTCCCTCAAAATTTAAAGTTTGAACAACTAAGTTTACAAAGTATATATTATCAATAACTGATAAAAATTTTAAACAAATATTATAATATTTTGTAATAAATTAGAAAGTGCAGTTATATCTTATCCTTGAAGAAGCCTGTAGGAGAGTGCCTTCTTTGTGGGTCAAACGCAAAGATTGGCTTGAAATATTTGTGATACTTATTGAAGTTTTTAAAACACAGAAGGAAAGACATAAGCTAAGCTAATATGTTTGACTGAACTGAGTGGTCTGTGGGGCCAACACATTGAACGCGTTCCGGTGCATTTCATTTACACCACGTGCTTCTTTCCTATCTGCAACCGCCCCTTTTTTAAACCCAGGGTAGCTTCTATATATAGGCTCCAACCCCATCCCTCTGTGATCCCCAAATCCAATTTCCCATTATTCTCTCCATCACCCGGGAGAGACTTTATTGCTCTGAATATTTGGGGAAAGTTTCGAATCTCAGTTTCAGTGAATGCCATAACTACACTTTTGATGCACCAGACTTCAAAGACTCAACTTTGATTCATTTATGTCGTGCACAAACTTTGGCAACCAAGTTTACAAGCAAATAAAGGCTTGATTTTTGTTTGGGTTGTTTCTTTTTCTTGGACAAAGATGGGAGACGATGGTGCCGGAAGAAACCACCAAGGTTTCGACCTCTCCATTGATGTGCTTCCACGAAGTGGGTCAAAATGCTACGATGACGATGGCCGTCTCAAGCGATCCGGTACGATTCCATCAAGTTTACTTGGGACTTCCCTTCATCTTTTTATAACGCAAGTCTTGATCTTTCACTTTTTCCGGCTTTGCCAGGAACCGTATGGACAGCGAGTGCTCATATTATTACAGCAGTCATTGGCTCCGGGGTCCTGTCCCTGGCTTGGGCCACTGCTCAGTTGGGATGGGTTGCTGGTCCAATAGTGATGCTTATGTTTTCTTTTGTAACTTACTACACCTCCACTCTTCTTGCTGCTTGCTACCGCTCCGGTGACCCTGTTAATGGCAAGAGAAACTATACTTACATGGATGCTGTCAGATCAAACCTGGGTAACTTTCAGTTCCATTACCAATTTGGGTTTAAGTCTTTGTTTTAATCTTTAACATATTTGTTTACTGCTGTTCATTTTGCAGGTGGGTTTAAAGTAAAGATATGTGGATGGGTTCAGTACTTGAATCTTGTTGGAGTTGCCGTCGGATACACAATTGCATCATCAATTAGCATGATGTGAGTTCCCAACTTCATGTTTGTTGATTTAATGGCAGAATATTTTGTTTTTTTTTTCTTGCATTTATTGGGGGACTAAAATCCGTGCATTTTGATATATAACAGGGCAATCAAAAGGTCGAATTGCTTCCATGCCAGTGGTGGCAAAAATCCATGCCATATGAATAGCAACCCTTACATGATTGCTTTTGGTGTTGCTGAAATAATTTTCTCTCAAATCCCTGACTTTGATCAATTATGGTGGCTTTCCATTGTTGCTGCTGTCATGTCTTTCACTTACTCGACCATTGGCCTTGGCCTCGGTATTGCCAAAGTTGCAGGTATTAACAACATGGGCACTTGAAAATCCTTGTTTCAGTTCTTTCTTCGAAACATAGCCTTTGTCTAACACATAAGGTGTTTAATTTACCAGAAACTGGAAAAATCAGGGGAAGCCTGACAGGGATAAGTGTTGGAACTGTGACTCAAACCCAAAAAATATGGAATAGTTTCCAAGCACTTGGAGACATAGCTTTTGCCTATTCTTACTCGCTTATACTCATTGAAATTCAGGTATGTATATATGTATATATACATATATATACTCATAGGTCCATTACAATTTGTTCAACTTAAAACAATATGGTGATCTTTTTGCAGGACACACTCAGGGCTCCACCAGCAGAATCAAAGACAATGAAAAAGGCAACATTTATAAGTGTTGCAGTGACAACCTTTTTCTATATGTTGTGTGGTTGCATGGGATATGCTGCTTTTGGAGACTCGTCCCGTGGAAACCTTTTAACTGGTTTTGGATTCTATAACCCATTTTGGCTCCTTGACATTGCCAATGCTGCCGTTGTGATTCACCTTGTTGGTGCATATCAAGTTTACTGTCAACCCCTTTTTGCCTTCGTCGAAAAAACCGCGGCCAAGAAGTTCCCGGACAGTGACTTCATTACCAAAGATATCAAGATCCCGATCCCGGGTTTTCGCCCTTACAATCTCAACTTGTTCCGGTTGGTTTGGAGGACGGTTTTCGTGATCATTACAACTGTGATCTCCATGCTACTTCCTTTCTTTAACGACATTGTTGGACTCCTCGGGGCACTTGGGTTTTGGCCATTAACGGTTTACTTCCCAGTTGAGATGTACATTTCACAGAAGAAGATACCAAAGTGGAGCACCAGATGGCTTTGCCTTCAAATTCTCAGCACTGCTTGCCTTATTATCACCATCGCAGCTGCCGCCGGTTCGATTGCAGGAGTTGTTCTAGATCTCAAGACGGTTAAGCCCTTTTCGACGCCCTACTAGTTCAGTATAATCGAACTGGTATATGATCATTTATACCATTCGTGGACAGCATTTCAAAAAGGCGAGGGAAAAGTAATCTCTTGGGGTAAAAAGGAAGGATCATGTTCATATGAAGGCATAATTTGCAGTTGTTAATTACACTAAGTTCAACAAAAATGGAGGCCATTGGTCACCCTCTCCACTTGTAACTTTCCATATCACTCAATCCAAATGCAAGAAAAAGAATATTCCAACACAAGTTGAAGTGTTTTGTGTTTGGAATGATTGAAAATTGAAGGAAAAACGACTTTTTTCCTTTTCCAAACTCCATTAACACCCAAACCATTGGAAGTGCCCATTTCTATTCAGCACAAAAGTCTTTTCTGCATCTTACGATCTGATCTCCCAAAGGATCAGATTCTGGTTGTGCCTATCCATCAACTAAACCATGCGGTGAAACAGAAGCTCACTTTCAATGGCTCTCAACTCTCAATGACTATCTTTAGACAACCAAGGAACATATTGACCCGTTCAACCCTGAGAAAGCCACAGGTGGTGTTATTAATATAAAACGACAAACTAGTCATTGAACTTTTAGGATTCATGCATTTTTAACCTCGATTTTTTTATTCGAGTTGAATTTATGAAAAATTGAAACAAGTTAAATTTATTTGTTCGAATTTTTCTCTAAATTTAATTGTAGTTTTTATAATATTATGGTACATATTGATTTTAATTTAAACTGATTTCTTTATGTTCTTTTTCACATGTGTAGATAAGATTTATAATGTTATTTAATAAAACAAATAACATCTAAAATTATAAAATATATTTATAAATAAGAGGTTTTTAGGATAAATTATCGATGAGGGTGTAAAGGAATAAAAAAATTTATAGGAAGAAAATTTTACAAAGAAGTCAACTAAAGGATCAAATTAAATAAAATATGACTAAAATGAAAAAAATTGTTGTTAATAATAAAAGTTGAAGTTACATGGTGTTAGTGGAGCATGTGGTTTAAATTTGGTTAGAAAGAACTTAAAACGAATGAATAACTAAAGAAATGAGAAAATTATGCAAAATTGAAGATTAAATTAAAAAATATAAAAAAAATAATTTTCAAAAAGAAGAATCAAAGCTACATAAATATTATACAATGGTTGAAAGGAGTATAATTCAAATTTGATTAAAAATGTACTTACAAGAGAAAAATAAAGAGAAAAAGGAAATTAAAAATTAAATTGCAAAACTATAAAATTAAATTTTTCAAATTGATAAACCCGAAATAAAAAATCAAAAATCAAAAATCAAAAATCAAAACTAAAATTTAATTTTACCTGAGTAATTCAAATAATTCAACTCAAATAACTCAAAATTAAAAAAAAAATTAAATCAAGTCTTAATCACCCTTATTACCGATAATAATACAATAATGCCACACTAACTGAACAATTTAGAAACGTGGAATTTGATTTTATCAAAGGACCAAGAGTCAAGTCCTTATCGCGGAAAATGGGTATTGGAAAAAAAAATATTGTGTTTAATATATTTCCAGAGAATTTAAATATTTAAGAAACCAAAAATTAATTTTGGGGCAGTGAAAAAGAGCTTACCCTTTCAAAAAGAAGCAGAAGGCATTTTATGTGAATTCAGAATTAAAAGAACAAAACAAAACAACTATACTATTTTACACAACAAAAATATAAACCTTTTTGTTGTAGAAAATAAATCCATTTGGTGGTGAAAGTAAAGCGGCGATAGTGAGTGGTGAGGGGTGTCGGAGGACTGCCGCAGCCGCTGAAGGGAGCTGTAGGCCCTTCAAGATTAATGGGTTGTTGGTGTATTCATCTTTCCCTATTAATACTAAAATTTGCAACCTTTTCTTTTTCTTTTATTTTCCCCACAGGTTCCTTATTCTACTATTTCGTGCTTTGATTTTCATTTTTATAATAGAATATCTCATAGCATTAATCAAGGCAATAATATTTACGATGTCTTGAAAAATAATTAATTTCTACAAACAAACAAAAATCTAACCACTTTCTTCTTTCTCCTCTTTTCTCCCTCTCTCTTTTTTCTTTACAACTTGTGTCAATTTTATTGATAAATTCAAATTTTTATTCTTTGATTTTATTTAAACAAAGGCGGCACCGATTTTGATGTTAGTTGCCGTCTGATCGCTTGTAAATGTATATGTTAAGGCAAATAAATATGTGCAAGTATACACAATCGATACAAGTAATATAAGGTAAGTGAGTATCGTCTATATAGGGATTGGTCGAAAAAATATATTTTCACCACAACTAGAACTAGCGTCACAAACTAAGTCCTACTAAGTATCGACTTAAGAACTAATATTAATAAAATAAAGAAGTGATTTAACGATTGCAAGAAAGTTTGGTCGAGGCAAAATAAGTATGCAGAATGCTAAAGCAAAGCAAAACAAGTGTTGATTTAAATATAATGCAAACAACCTCACATATTCAGACATATCACAGAGCACTGATGCTAAACCCTTGCATTGTCATCAATTATTTCTAAGTCTAGAATGAATTATTATAACTTGCTAAACTGCCCGACAGGATTACTAGGTATTCTTAGACGGTTGCTATTGTAATACTCCTCAGCGTTAACTATAACCCTTGGTTTGTCAAATTGTTGTTGTAGCAATACCTCCCAGCGTAAACTAAAGGCGTTGTCTATCCTACTCTAGCGTCTATCCCTTTTAGTCGATTGAAACTCACTCATTATCTCTAAGGTAACAAGTTAGAACTCACCATCCCAGATTCATTCCCTTGCTCACGTGGATCTATCTTAATTCTCTCGAATATAAGAATCACTATCTAGACAAAATGCTATCTCTCGATGCTCTTCTATTGCCAAGACATGTTTTACCAATACCCCAGGCGATCTCACGATGCTCTTACAGCGTAAGGTAAAATATTTAAACAATGAGCAAAACAGTCATAAGCAAACATAATTCATCATTCATAAAACATAAAAATATTGTTCAAGCAAAACAAAGTTTAACAACAAGTAAGACATTCATGGTTCTATCAAAGATTATCCAAAATTCAACGTTTAGTACAACCCCAAATAAAATAAGAGTTAAGAATAAAGGAAGAACGATTCCCAAAACCGAGGGCTTTGTCGCGACGATTCTGATCAGCACTACGTCTGCCTTGGTGATCAGCCTCTCTCGAGATCTGATCACCTCTCTGCTAAAGTCTGGCTATGGAGGACACCAAGGAAGGTCGGTGGGTAGACGGTGAAGAAGCTCTGCAGTTGCTTGCTCACGCCTTGGATAAAGCTCTTCTCTCTTCTTCCTTGCCTTGTTTCTTTGTCGGATACAACTGGTTATTTATAAGGAAATATCTCCTAGGACTTTGCATGCTTTTGGAGTTTCCTTAAATAACTGTTATTAAATGTCCAGACTAAAAGGAAAGGCGACTGTTAGAATAATTAAGGCTTGCTTGCCCAGCTTGACATGTGACATAGGTGGTTTCGTCACGCCTGCTTCAGACTTCTTCAGATAAACCTTGCCTCGACGAGATAAATCTGCTCCTCACGTTCTCATCTATTCCGTTGGCCTTTGCAAATTTACGTTGTCACGATTGAAATGTTCTTCCTCTGTAGGTTTCCTACACAAACACAATCCAAACAATCCTTTCTCTTCAGCAGCATCAGTCGGACCAAATAAATCGTGCCTAAGCAAAATTTATCCACCACAAGCTAATGTAAACTATATGCAACTAAAATGTTGTGCATACTCTGTTTAGACGAGCAATAACTTAAGTGAAAAGACTGGAAATTGAGTCTTTTTACGGAGTTATCACCGTCCATCGGTTATCTTTTTTCTTTGTTTTTTATTTTTTAATAAGAATAGTTATGTCTTTGTGACATGTTATATGCCTTTATGGTACGTTTATCTATGTCTTTGTGACACGTTTTCTCTGTCTTTTGGTAGCTTACGGTTTTTTGCCCTTTTTTCGTTTATCTTTTTTTACAGGATTGGATTTGACATTGCCACGACTGATCAAAATGACACTTATTTGTTATCTTGCTGATCATCTTTGCTTTGAATCCTCAAATTGATTTGGATACGCGTTTTGCGCTTGTGGATAGTTTTCTCACGTCGTTTGACTCTAATTTACGATTTATCGATGGTCTTTCAGTAGTTTCATCCCCTTTTATGGTCCAATTATCGATGCATGCAGATTTGTTCGTATCTTTATTTTATTCGAGCATTGGTTTTGTTTTTTTTAACATTTTCCTTTTATGGTCCCTGTGTGATATAGGTGGCTAGTTTTTGTGTTAATGGTTATAGAAAAATGTTCTACTTATAAGTTTACGTTAACGATTATGCTCGTAAATCTTTATTGTAATTCTGAATATTTTTTATTTTTAAAAAAACTAGTGGCTTTCTATAAAAAATAATTATTTTTGGTGAGATTAATAATTGGTAGTGATAATTAAAATTTAGGCATTTTAATTTAAAGGCAAATAGAAAATGATTTTAAAAATTATGTATAATTAAAATTTTGAGTTATTTAACAAATTTGAAATTACGAGAATTATTATCTTATAATTTCACTAATCTAGGTATTTTTATTTTTTATAAGAACTTAAAAATAAAATATAACAATCATTTAATTAAGGCTTAATAAAAAAATAATTACATAAAGAATGTCTCAAAAAATGTTTTAATGCCTAAAAATATTTTTCATTAAAAATATATGTATAAAGTATTTTTTTTGTTACAATTTGCCCCGTGTGAAATTAAGAGCTCACACATGGGACCATGACCTTCCCTAGCTGCCAACATAAGTGGAGTGCATCCTCTCCATCGGGGACATTTAAATCGTAGTCCCTGCTCGTCAACAACGTAACTGCATCCAAATCTCCGTTGCGCGCTGCACAATGCAAAGCATAGAAGCCTCCAGCATTTCGGTTGCCTTTTTCGAGTGCCAATGCAAGCATCACCTTCTCAAACAGATCTCGGTTCTGGTTCAGTTCAGACAATGTAATTGTAGTCTCACCAGATTTATTTAACAGCTTAACATCAGCTCCAGCGTAGGCAAGCAGCCGGAATGCTTCAACATGACCTTT